GTCCTTGATGGAACCGGGTTTCGATCCCCATCCCTACTGACGATGGCCTTTCCTCAACCTGCTCTTCACTCCGCACCCTATGCTCCTACGTCGGCCCCTGGTCCGGCTCGGATGCCAGAGCCCGAACCGATGCAGCTGGAAAGCACATGCCTCTCTAAGGAGGAGAGGGCATGTCGCATCAGCTGTCCTCTCTGTCTCTACTGTGGCAGTGATGGACACTTCCTCAGTACTTGTCCTTTTAGGGGTAAAACTAGGCTGGACGCACCAAACTCTCTGCCTCCCCAGCTCTCCTGTTACCCAAGACTCGTGTGGTTACTTCCACAACCCCAGATCCTCCAGTAACCTCGGCCCCAGCCCCCCCGGAGCCTGGTCCGAATTATTTTTCTCCCCCTTCTTCTGAGTCTGGTTTGGTGGATTTCTTTTATGGGGATAGAGGAGATCTTTTTCCCTTCCGTTCACCTCCACCCACCCGATTCAGAGAGGGGGGACCTACCTTCACGGTCAGGCGCCTCCTCAGGTCTAGGAGGATAGGCAGGGGGCTCCAGTATTTGGTTGATTGGGAGGGTTATGGACCCAAGAAAAGGGCCTGGATTCCGGCCCGGTTGATCCGGGATCAGGACCCCTACTACGGGGATCATCCTGATCAGCCTGTTGGGGCGTCTGGAATCCGCCCTTGAAGGGGGGGTTCTTGATTCTACCGGCTTCTGAACCTGGAACTGTCTCCTGACTTCAGCCTTGGATTTCCCTTCTGGACTCTGTTGCTGCTCGCTCTCTAGGAACTCTGGGGGCGTCGCCCGCCGCGACTGTGGTCAAACCTCCCCGAACGGACTGAACTTTGAATCAGGTCGGTGACTAGCTCCAAGTCGTATTCAGCTCCTCATCCAGTCACTGACCTGTATTCTCCTATCCCTGCAGAGATCCGCCCCGCAGCAGACGAGCAGCCCCGCGCACCTGTTTGTTAATAAATGCTTTGAACTTTCCCACTGCCTGTCTAGCCTTGAATTCTGGATCCAATATTTTGAGATCATTACACATAGACTCGTTCTTTCCGTCTGACTGAGTGGTTATTTGCATTCATGAGAAGAAATATTTAAGCACGGACATTTAGCCACTACATTAAGTAGAAAACAGTTGCAGAGGGCGAGAGAAGTATCGAGGGAAACTGAGGGAAGCGTCGCATGCGTTGGGCTTGCGCTCATGAAGGACGCCTGTCCACTTGGACCAGCAGAGGGCGGTGCACACCAGAGGATTTTCAGACGGCTTAAATGATGATGGATAAGTACATAAATGTCAAATTCGAATGAATAAATAAGCAATGCTTCGGACTTGCAAGTAATGACTGAAAATTCATGATTTTTTCACTGTATTTGCGGACGCCAAGAAACGTGGCTGAGTCATTATGCTCAAAGTTTCAAGTGTGCTGCTCTGCTAGTTAAGAGGCCATATATGACGGTTTGGGAAATATGCTTTTGTTAAAAAGTCACATCAGCTAAGAAAAACTCAAGCTTTTCTCTGGAAATAAACCTTATATCTTACTTTGGAAAACTACATGTTTTAAGATTAAAGGAAAGCTTATTTGGATTTCAGAAGTGTGCTAGAGTTTGCTGAGGCTCATTTAACATAAATAGTAGTTCAAAGTGTCCAAGGGTGGAAACAAGATGGTAAACAATGTCGAGCTAGACACTAAAAGAAGGATCAAGTTAACTCCAAAGACACTAGAAGAGAAGCTTGATAAGCAAATGTCTCTAAGAAAACGTGTTTTAGCACGCCTTGTTTCCAAAGTAGTGGAAATTGATAATTTAATGAGAGATGATTTCAATGCACCCACAGTAGAGAAGGATCACTGGAGAGAAAACTCAAAATTGCTAATTGAGTTTATTGAAGTTAATAACACAGTAAGCAAACTGTTGTCAGAAGAAGAAAGAAAAGCTGACCAGCAGCATTGGAGTGAGCCTAATCTCACCAAGTATGAAAACTTTTTGTTCGCATTGGAGCAGTGGATAATAGAAGTAAAACAGCAACCCAGGGCTGCTCCTGAAAAGGCAGCCACTTAACATGAGGCTCCTGAGGATGTCGCCATGGCACAGCAAGGTGAGTTTGCTGCTGAGGAGCCTGCTGCTGAAGAGTCTGCTGCCGAAGAAGTGCATCCAGATGACAGTGTGTCCACTGTGCAACAGAAGCAGGCTTCAGTCCTACCACAAAGCGTATGCAGTAAGGGATCCAACGTATCATCTCATGCATCGTCTATGCGTAAGAAAGAGGAAGGTCATCGAGCAGCTTTACTGGTGCGTGCAGATGCACTTAAGAAGAAAGAAGCATTACAGTTGCAAGAGGCTCAAATAGAAGCACAGCTTGCCGCACAGGAAGCACATCTTGCAGCACAGCTGAAATAACAGAAAATTCAGATAAGAACTCAATTGGAGAAACAAAATTTCGAGTTGGCTCTAGCAGAATCCACAGCAAGGCTACAGGTTCTAGAAGAATATGATAACATGGAAGATGGGATGCATTCATACCTGAACAAAAACATGCATCCAGACGTCAGACCAAAATCACCAAGCTGTCTTTGAGCTAATCCCAGATAACCGTGTGCCTCATGTTTCAGCTAGGAACATGCCACATGAGCAAGTGAAGAAAGAAAAGGACGATGTTGCAACCACACATCCTGATGCGAGCACACATCCTGGTGCAAGGCAAGTGGAACTCGGTGAGGTGATCCTGAAACAGAAGGACATCACTGAGATGTTAGTAACACAACAAAGACTAGCCAACTTACCTCAATGCAAAGTCCCTGAATTCAGTGGCGATCCTCTTGAGTTCCTGCCATTCCTGAGAGCATTCGAACACATCATTCACAGTCAGACAGACAATGACGCAGCTCGTCTGTATTATTTAGAACAATTCACCACAGGTGAGCTGAGAGAATTGGTGAGAAGTTGCCAACACATGAGTGCACAAGAAGGGTATGAGGAGGCAAGAAAGCTTTTGACTTATCACTATGGCAATGAACAGAGAATAGCTGCAGCCTACCTTGACAAGGCTGTCAACATAGGCTTTCTGACTGGGTGCAACAATGTGATAAACAATTTGGAGTACCTAGAGGAAATGAACAGCCCAAGCAACCTACAGATCATTGTCCACATGTTGCAGGTGTAGGTGTTGGAGTTGTAGCTTTCTACATCCAAGAGAAAGAAAAAAGGAGAGCAGACTTTGCTGATCTTGTAAAGTATATCAACAGACAAGCTAAGATAGCTTCGGACCCACTGTTCGGTGATGTCAAAGACCCTGCCGATGCAAGAGAAAAGTCTAAGTTCAGCGCTGAAACCTGCAATGGGTCAACTGAAAAGAACCACTGGCCTAGCAACAAGCGTGATGCCAGCACATTAGTCCTCTGACTCAAGAACTACTAAGCAGACTAGCAATGCATATCAAGAGCCATTTCTGTTCTGCAACAGGGGACACGGTCTGAGTGCATGCAACAAAATCAGAAGTCTGCCAAACAGAGTACATGTCAGACTTAATAATATTACTTTAGCGATAGTTTCAAG